GCTATAGATGTCCCACTGCAGGAAGCAGGCCTAAGCTGTCAGTCGGACATCCCCCCAGGGCTCCTGGACTGCTAAAGGGTGCAGGCCAGGCTGAGTGACACTCCCTTATCCCCTAGTGTAGGGGTGTCGAACTCAATCAGAGAAGGGGCCAAAATCTAAAATCCAGCCTAAATCGCAGGCCGAATGGTTTACTGAACAGTCATAAACTGTCATTGTGATGGAAACGCAGCGGAGTGCAGTGATGACAGCGCTGTGCAGGCCACATTGCAAGGCCTGGCGGGACGGATTTGGCCCGCGGGCCTTGTGTTTGACACATGTGCCCTAGTGCATGAATGTTGTGCACTGAGCCTCTAGTCTGAATATAATTTTATTTGAATTATGCCCATTTGCATTGGTAAACGTGCTACATTTGGGCATGTTTCTGTTACATGGCTTTCAAATGTCTTTTCACTATGTGCTCCATTTTTGTGTGTGTGTGTGTGACCTCCTCCTTCTCTTTTTCTTTTTGGTATTTTAGAACTTTTGATTTCTATTGAGGTTGTTATCTTTAATTGAAGATATAAATATCTCCTAGCCCTTCCTTAGCTATTGCCTTCGTTCCCTACTTTGAAAAATACTAAAATTATCTACTTACTGTTTCTTTTTCCTGTATAATTAAATTGTAGTTAAAATAATGTTAATCTCTATGGTGTTAAATATGATTAGGTTTATACTAATTGATTTGTGAGCCTCAAAGTGATTTGTATTTTTTTTACTCACAGTTAATATTTAAGATGTTTTGAATTTAGTTTAATCTTTCTCCTATTTTTTGTTTGTGTATATTACTTGACATTCCTGAAGTTCATAACATTTATATAACTGTTTTATCAGCTTTAGCCCCAGTTTAATTTATTTATTGTTAATCCTCACTTGAGGATATTTTTTCCATTGATTTTTAGAGAGTGTGGAAGGGAGCGAGGGAGTGGGAGAGAGAGGGAGAGGAAAATCGATGAGAGAGAGATTGAGGGGGTGGGGATTTGTTGCCTCCTGCACCCCTCCCCCCATGTACATACCCTTAACCAGGAATCGAACCTGCAACCCTTCAGTGCATGGGCCAGTGCTCTCACCACTGGCTAGAGCTATCCCCATTAAAGAAAAACAAAACAAAAACAAAAACACTATTTTTTAGAGCAGTTTTAGGTTTACAGAAAAATTGAGAAGGAATTACAGAGTTCCCATAAAACCCCATCCCAAAACACACACACAATCTCCTTTATTATCCACATTCTGCAGCAGAGTGGTCCATTTGTTAGAATTAATGTACACATCATCATTCCCCAAAGTCCTGCATTTACATTAGGGTTTACTTTTGGTGTTGTACATCTATGAGTTTCAGCTAATGGTTTATTTTTGGTGTTGCACATCTATGCGTTTCAGCCAATGTATAGTGACAAGGATCTACCATTACAGTATCATCCAGAATAGTTTCACTGCCCTAACAATCCACTGTGCTTTACTTATTTATTCCTCTCTACCATCTAAACTCTGTAAACCATTTGTCTTTTGACTGTCTCCATAGTTTTACATTTTTTAGAATGTCATATAGTTGAAATCATACAGTAAGTAGCTTTTTCAGATTGGATTTTTAAATATGGTAACATAATTTATTTTCTTCCATGCCTCTTCATGGTTTGGTAGCTCATTTCCTTTTAGTGCTGAGTAATATTCCTTTATCTGGATGTACTACCACAGTTTATTCATTCTCTTACTGAATTTTTTTATCCATTCACATATATTTTGGTTGCTTCCCAGTTTTTGCAGTTATGAATATATAAACATTCAAGTGCAGATTTTTGTGTAGACATTCTTTTTCAACTCCTTTGGTTTAATATCAAGGAGTATGGTTGCTCGATTGTATAGTAAGATGTGTTTAGTTTTTGTCAGATTGCTTTCGGTCTGTCCATCATCCAGTTACCTTCTCAGAGACAACCTGGTTAGGAAGTTCTTATGTATTTCCTTAAAGTCTTTCTATATGCATGAAACTATTAAAATATGTAAAGGTATGTAAGCACTGTTCACATCTTGAATTTTTTAAGCTATCTTGACTATTTTCTCTCAACATTCACATTAATCATAACCCCAATCCTGAAATTGAACCCATTTCATTTTATGGATTACTGTAATTTATTTAAACACTTCCTTATTAATAGGTATCTAGGTTATTTCTAATATTTTCTCATACCAGTCACTGTTGTAATAAATAGTCTTATGTATATTTTTTAAAAAGAATATGTATAATTTTATAAAAACCTGAACTGTCTTCCACAGAGGCTGTACCATTTTGCATTCCCACCAGCAAAGAATGAGAGTCCCTGTTGCTCCCTATCCTTGCCAGCATTTAGCATTGTGTTTTGGTTTTTGGTGGTACTCATTTTAATTTTAATTTCCTTGGTTTCATATGATTTGAAACATTTTTTTCATATGTTATTTGCTCTCTGTCTTTTTTGGTGAGGTGTTTGTTCAGATCTTTTGCCATTTTGTAACCAGGTTGTTTATTACGATTGAGTTTTAATAATTTTTTGTATATTTTGGACAAACATCTTTATCAGATATGTCCTTTGCAGATATTCTCTGATGTTTTCATTCTCTTGACATCCTCATCTTTTAGTTATAGTTCTATAATTAAGTATATTTGCTTCTTATCCTCAGTCTTGAACATTAAATCTTCATTTTTTTTCTTGATTATCTGAAACTCATTCTCCACTTGACCACTCAGGCATGCTCTGGGAGAGATATATTGTAAAGTTTTACAGGTTTATAACTCTTTGTCACTGACATTACACTTGAAGGACACTTTGGCTGGATTTAAAATCATCTTGCCTGGTGGGGTGGCTCAGTGGATTGAGCATCATTCCATGCACCAGGAAGTCTCTGGTTCGATTTCCAGTCAGGACACATGCCCCGATTGCAGGGAGCGTGCAGGAGGCAGCCAATCAATGCTTCACTCTCATTAATGTTTCTATCTTTTTCTCCCTTTCCTTTCTTCTCTCTCTCTAATCAATTAAAAAAAACACATTGAAAATTAAATCTTCATCTCACGTTTTTTTAGTACTTAAAAATATTACTGCATTGTTTTCTAATATACTAGTAAAATGCTGTTGATGTTTAATTTTCTTTCCCATTTAGGTGACTTGGCTTTGTGTTTAACTTTTTTTATTATGAGAACTTCACAGATTTTTGTTGGTTTTTCATGTTTCAATGAATTGGATTTTCCTGGAATGTGGGAAGGAGATTCCTGTGAAAGAGTAGGATAAACCACTATAACTTTCTCAGTTTTACATTCAGGGCTTTCCCTTCTATTGTTATTGGTGTATGTGTGTAGCCACTTCTCTCAGAGGTAAGCCTTACTCAAGGTTTCTCCTCTAGCCCAGTGTCTCTGTGAGCGTTGCAGGCTTAACATTACATCATAAGATATATTTTCATAGTGTTTTCTGTGATCTGTTTCCTTTGGAACTTTGCTCTCACCTTCCTCCTTTAATATCTGAAACTTCTTTCTATCTCCATTGTTCCTGCCCTGCAGTTTGGTTTCAGATAACATGAGTTTTTCCCTTAGCGTGAGCGTGGCACTCTGTCCTGGGAGGGTTTCTCTGCTGGATGCTTTGAGAGAGCTTAGAGTTCAGAGCTTCACAGTAAGACTGTTGGCTGCCTCAGGACAGATTTGTGCACTCACCTGCAATATGGAGCCTGAGAAAACTTTTTCCTTTTTTCCATTTATTCTCATTCTGTTCTTCCAGTTTCCACCAATGGTAGAATCCTCTGCTTTTGGGGATTACAATGATTTTCTGGGTTATGGGATTTTGCAGGGTGCCTCTGTATTCCCATTCACTCACTTCCTGTTGCTCCCTTTCACAGAGTTGCTGATCCTTCAGTGTTAGCAGTGCAGCCACCTTCCCTCATAGTCTAGTATTAAGCTTTGAGGGGATTCTCTTTTACAATACCTACTTTTATTAAAGATGTAACCATTGGGTTTTTCTGATATCCCAGTGGCATATTTAGCTTTCAGGAGTCCTTGGGAGATTCAAAAACTATGCTGCCACCACAATAATTACACAACTAAGTCCTTATTTATTAGTTCAATTGTGACCAATATCTAAGGAGCTTGGATTTTTTTTTTAATATCTAAATTTGAATGATTAATTTAGGGCAACATAAAATTGCATATTAGTAACATCTTAAAATGTTTTACATTTACATCAATTTTATTTTTTCAATTATAGTTGATATACAGTATTATACTAGTTGCATGTATAGACTCCAGTGATTAGACCAGCGGTTGCCACTGGTGGTCCTTGAGATCCGAAAGGTTGGCAACCGCTGGGTTAGATATTATATAACTTACTGATCATCCCGATAGATCTCGCAGTTATCTGACAGGCATATTGTAACATGTTAATATAGAAATTTTCTAATATTTTTTGTGACCTACTGGGAGGTATGTATAAATGTAAGATGAGATTTTTTGTTGTTAACTTTCTTCTTGATTTTAAATATGCATCATTTGCCTTTTATGTAGTGAATTAGTATTTAGACTAATTGCGGTATATTATATAAAATTATAAGTAAACAATTTTTAAAGCAAAAATGGGCAAAAAACCTGTTGAACTTTTATTGAATAAGTGTAGTTGAAGAAATTGCTTGCTTGATGGAAATAAATATATTCAGAGAAAAATTAAAAGAAAAAAGAATGAAATCACTTGTTTATTTTCATCATAATATATACTATTTAATCTTTGTATGTTTTATGAAACATGAAAATTTAATATGTGAGTTAGAATTATTTGTAATTTTAGATTTGCCTCATTGTCTTCCACATAGCAAATGCTAAATAAACATTTTCAGTGTGCATATAGTAGGAGGGGACAGTATTAATATTTTGTAATCTTATTAGTAAAGGTTATATAGTCTGCTGAATCTGACTTAAAACTATGGAAATCCAAAATAAAATGATCAATTTCTCACAGGAACTGAAGTTAAAAGATGAAGAGTGTGAGAGGCTTTCTAAAGTACGTGATCAACTTGGACAGGAATTGGAGGAACTCACAGCTAGTCTGTTTGAGGTTGGTCTATTTACATCTTGGCCAAAAGCAAAGTCATGATTTTTATATATTGATAGAGTTGTTTTTTGAGGGAATCTTAAGGAAAAATATGCTTAACTTTATACATATTTATAAGTCTTCTAAGAAAAAATAAAATTTTTAAGAAATGTAGAGACTGCAACTTAAAATGCTGTGAAACGAAAAAAACACTATGGGCTACCAGTATCAGGTTGTTTAAATATGAATATGTGGAAATAAAGGAGGTAAATTTAATTTTTATTTTCACCAAATACTTAGGGAATGCTTTAGAGTAACTGTATGACTCCACAACAAAGATGGCAAACCTTTGATGTATATCTGATATTGGATAATTTGCGGAATGTTAGGAGGTAATACCTACTTCTTAGAAGGTACACCTTTTTGTCTCTAGACTATCACTTGGGACCAAAATGTTTAACCATTTCTGTATATATGTATACAGAAATATACATATATACAGAAAGAGGCTTATATAAGGAATTGGCTCATGTGATTATGGAGGCTGGTAAGACCCAAGTTATGCAGGGCGATTTGGCAGGCTAGAGGCCTGGGACAGCTGATGGTATAGTTCCAATCTAAGTCCAAAGCCTCAAGACCCAGGAAGAGCTGATGTTTCAATTCAGGTCTGAAGGCAAGAATTCTCTCTTATTCTGTGGGGATCAGATTTTTGCTCTATTCAGGTCTTCTACTGATTGGATGAGGCCCACCCACATTATGGAGGGCAGTCTGCTTTGCTTAGTCATCTGATTTAAATATCCGTCTCATCCAGAAACACCCAGAATAATGCTTGACCAAATATCTGGGCATACCCTGTGGCCCAGTCAACTTGACATACAAAATTAACCATCATACTTGGCTTTGCCCAAAAAATGCTAGAAATACTCCCTGATCATTTTGATAACTTATAAATATCCATGAGGGGTGAGTAGAAAATAGTACTTCCTTATTGTTCAGAATCACTTCCATGGATGCCTCCTTTAGGTTAGCCTCCAGAAAATTCCTTATAAAAAACATTGATATGTTATGAGAATACCTAATGGTGTTATCACCTATCAATATTTTTTTTTTCTCAAAAATTAGTTCTTAAAACTTTTACAAGATTTTAGGGGGAAAATTTCTTCACCCTTTATTTGTATTTATGCAGCATCTGTTTCAGTGTTGGATATGCATGTTTGCTCACATAGTTGCAATACCAATACATTTTGTAGGTTGTTTCCCCCCCCCCCCCCAAATAAACCCCTTTTCATGCTACTGCATAGTTTGTGAAAGAATAATCTATCAAATACATATTCCACAGTTCCTATCATTGCAGTGGATATCTTCAGACATATGAGCTTTCCCATGCGCCTTCTGGTTCCACACTTGTTTGCCCTCTTATTTGGTGTAGTAATTACAAAAATGCTAATACTTTTGGAGTTATTTTCTTTCATGAACATTTAAAAACTACTTTATTTTATTTAGTTAACTAGTCATTGGAGATGAGAGAAAGAGAAATTTAAGGTGGAGGAGAGTGGAAAGTTAAAGATCTGAAATAAGAGCTGTGTGACCTGTTACATTGTATATGTACAAGGGGTATACAAAAACATAAGACTTTTTCTTCCAATATTGTCTGGCAAAAGAAAATTTTGTAATGATATGGATACTAGAGAAGAAAGCAAGTGTGTTATACTACTTATATTAATTTTGATTTCTTACCTGCCTGCCCTACTTTTAGCCATGCGTAGCTCCACCCTTCTGTACTTACATATATATTCTGTTAGATGAAATAGAAGTAAACTAGCAGAAAGAAACTTTTTCCTCTCTGTAATGGGATGTGAAGTACCAGAAATGCAGTTTGTGCTATTAATGAAAAAGTATATCTAAAAAACATAGTTTTGGAGTCCCTAACCTTCATTGACACTGTAAACTTTTTGGGAAAGAAATTACTGTGATTAAACATGATTTTGGTAATGAAGAAAGTTGTATTTAAATCAATTATTTATGAATTTTGAAAACAGTGCTTTAAGGTTTTCTCTGGTCTTAATTGTGATCTCAATATACCATTGTCTTATGAAAAGAGTATTTGCTTACATTTTATGATATACATGTATAGTTTTAAGAATTAAAGATTATTCTGAATAAAATCAATTTGTACAGTTTTGATAAATTTACCATGTACATTCAAATTAGGAGTTTATTAATGTATTATGAACAAATAATATTGAATATAATTATGCTTTGTATGTAGCAAAGTTGAGTCTTAAAAGTATCAAATCGAAGACTTTAAAGTTACATATATATTTTTTTCTTCTGGTATCTCAGATTTAGAGATAAAATGAATTCCATTGAAAGAATGCTGTACAAAGTAGTCTACATTTAACATAGGTAATCTTAAGATTTTAAAAGAATTTTGTTAGCCAATTTTAGTAAATTTTTGTGCTATATCTGGTTTTCTTTCCATAATGCTATGAGGCATAGAGTACAAATTATTATTTTAATCTGTGAAGAAAATGAGGCATAGATAAGGAGCAGTGCTGGGACTCAAATTCATGACCTCGACTCTTGCCTTGAGAATTATGAAAATCAGCAATTCCTTTATCTCAAGCCGCAGAAAAGGAGCCATCACTGAGGCCCTCTTCATCCTACACTGAAACTCCAAAAGGTCCTGTGACAGTACCTGGATCACATGAAATAACCTGTCTGCCTTTCTATTTTGAATCTGCTGTCACCATCTTCCCAGCCACCATCGTTTCTTACCTAGATCGTTATATAGTACCAAACTTTTTGTTCATGAACCTGATCTATAAAAAAAAGTGAGCATGTACCTTAATTATGATGAAGATACTTGATATTTACTGAGTGGTCCCTGTGTGCTAGGCACTGTTTTAAGAGCATATGTACTTATAAATTATATGCATACACTAATCATCATAATAATGTGTTACATAAATTATAAAGCAATAATTTTGAAAAGAGTAAGAATAAAAATGTGTGGAGTTTTTTATAATACCATAGTACAATATATTTTCTTCTCACTAAAACATACTGTGTATATGTGTGCATTTGCTCACAGGATTGAGCAAAAGCAGATTTATAGTTGTTTTTATGGAAAAGAATGCATTAATTATTAAATGATAATACAAGAAAAAAAACTGTGACTTGCATGCTATAACTGCAAACCTACTTTTGCTCACCCCTGTATTTAGTGAGAAGAGTGTGATTGAATATGTTACCTTATTTTTGAAAATCTTGTATTAACAATTTGTTTTCCAAATTAAGTTCTGTTCTAAATGTTGTTTTTTGTGTTTTGTTTTTTACAAAATTATATTTAATGTTGCTGATAACTAACATATTGATCCAAATGGAAGAAATATATCTTTCCTTGTTTTAAATAATTATACTAAAATTTCATTTCCATTGTCAGTTACATGATGGTTTTTTCAAAAAGTCTCTACTGAATTGACTAAAAACAAAAAATAGTTTTTGCAAACTAATCAGAAGATTAGGAGTAATTTGTACTTTGAGGAGAATTAGGTTAAAAATTCTCTTTTCAAAGTTTGTAAGTATAAAGATTTGAATGTCTGCATAGAATAGAGGTATGCCAACTACTTCCTGCAGGGTAAAACTAGTTTATGTCTACTTCTGTACAACCTTGAGCTAAGATTGGTTTTTACATTTTTTAATTTATTTTATTTAAAATATATTTAATTTATCTATCTATCTATTTATTTATTTATTTATTTATTTATTTATTTATTTATTTTTACAGAGAGGAAGGGAGACGGTTAGAGAGTTAGAAAAACCAATGAGAGAGAAACATTGATCAGCTGCCTCCTGCACACCTCCTACTGGGGATGTGCCCGCAACCAAGGTACACAATTGAACATGGGACCTTCAGTATACAAGCTGATATTCTATCTACTGAGCCAAACCAGTTAGTGTGCTTTTTACATTTTTAAAGGGTTGCAGGGGATCAAAAGAAGAATATTTTGTGACATATGAAAACTATATGAAATATAAATTTTAGTGCCCATATATTTTTATTGAAATGGCCACACTCATTTGTTCTGTATTTATTGTCTATGGCTGCTTTCACACTGCAACAGCAGAATTGAGTAGTTGCAACAGCCTATGTGGCTCACAAAGCCAAATTTACTAACTGGCTCTTTCAGAACAAGTTTGCTGACTCCTGGCACTTCTGTCATTTTCAGCTACAGAGTGATGAAGTGATAAGAAAAACTTCAAACTTTAAAAAATTATTTATTTATTTATTAAATTTTCACCTGAGGCTATTTTCCCATTGATTTTTAGAGAGAGGGGAAGGCAGGAGGAGGGTGGAGAGAAAGACATTGATTGGTTGCCTCCTGCATTCACCCCTACTGGGATGGGGATGGAGTCTGCAATTGAAGTATGTGCCCTTGATTGGAATCAAACTAGGGACCCCTCAATCTGTGGGCCGATAATCTACCCAATGAGCCAAACCAGATGTTTTTTGTCCTATGTGGTACTTTTTTAGAGACTGCGTTTCCTCATTCTAGCTCTCTTTTCTTTCCTTCTGCGACTTCAGTTACATGTGTGCTGTATCTTTTCACTGTGTCCTTTATATCTTAAGGGGAAAAGTCACCCCTAATTCCAGCTCACTTTTCTGGGTTTACATCTTCTGTGAGATCTTGGTCTCCAAGTCCTCTATTATTTTATTTGTTCTCTAATGCCTTCAAATACATTAAAACAATTGTCCAGCTCTTTTAATAGTTCTCCCATGGGAAGTTTGTCCAAGTTGCATAGTTTACTATTAGTGAAAGCGGAGTCTCTTTATTTTTAAACATTTAAACATTCTCTCTATAGCATGAGTTACTCTACATTTATAGTTAAAATGTCACTATTGAAGAGTCAGCTTAGATACGTGTATTACTTTGAAAATATTTGCCATCAGTTCTATTTGACAGCTATTTATCATTTCAGAAAAATTGAGCAAATCTGAAACATTTGTTTATTTTCACAGGAAAAAATGCTTACTTCATTATTAAATTTGATAACTCTTGAGGACTTTGACACAAAATAACTGGCACAGTTGTCAATGGGAGATTTTCACAGTTAATTTCATCTCATTATAAAACTTTGATAGTAAAGCTTCTTTTATTTAATATGTAAATTCATGTTCATGGGCACTGCAATTCACTACAATGCTGTAAAACCACAATTCACTATAATACTGTAAAAGGAGCACTAGTCAGTCTTGGTTCAGTGGATAGAGCATCGGCCTGCAACTGCAGTGGATAGAATACGTGCAGTGGATAGAGGACACACATTCTGGTCCAGGGCATGTACCTTGGTTGCAGGCTTGATCCCCAATCCTGGTCAGGGCACATGCAAGAGGCAACCAATCGATGTTTCTATCTCTCCCTCTCTCTTCCACTCTCTCTAAAAATCAATGGAAAAATATCTCTGGGTGAGGATTGACAAAACAACAAAAAATACTGTAAACACAGATGAACAAATAGGAGAACCACTGTCAAACTCTGAAGTGGAGAACTTTCCCTCTTCACTCCATCACTAGATAGTGAACAGATTTAGTGAAGGTGTCATTGTCACACCATTTATTAAATATCTTGAAAGTAGTTTCCTTCTTCCCATCCCCATTCCTCCCTCTCTTCTTTCCCCTAAACTGCAAATCTGAGTTCTAAACTATATCCCAGGGGACTATCTTGAGCATCCTATATACTGTTTCAGTCTGTCATTAATTCTTCATAGGGATTATTCCATACCGCAGAGTAATCTTTTAGAAATACAAGTTCAGTCATATCATTCTCTTTCTTAGAAAACTATAAAAGTTCATACCTCACTTATTGATAGAATATACCCAGAATTCTTCCTCAGATATTTTAATATTAGAACAAAATCAGGATGTAAGGTCCTTAAGAGCAGGGAAGTTGACTTTTCCTAGTATATTATGAGCACCTGGAATGGAACCTCATGCAGAGGTGGTGAGAATAAATGTTTGATGAAGAAATATATGAATAAAAGATAAATACCTGGAGTTTCCTATTTGTGGCACTATAAAATTAAGACCCCATTAAATATTAAACTGATTTATCTCTTTAGATTTCTCTGTACAAAGTCATTACTTCATATCATTTGTGGATTTTTTAAATTGAAATCTCTATGGCTTCTCAGCTTAATTTCTGTTAACTGCAACACTATTGATGATTTAATATTTTTACTTGTCCCTTCTGTATGTTTTTGCTGTAACACACACACACACACACACACACACACACACACACACACACAGTGATCAAGTTTTAAAAACCTAACTTCAGAGAAGTTGGGTTTAACATATGGGTCAGATATTTTCTTCATCACATTCACAGTCCTTTATTCAACCATGGATCAGAGGGAGTGACCTCAGCTTGGCTGCCTCAGTGGTAATAGGTACTTAAAAAGGTACCTCTCCCTAATTTCTAATAGTTTGTTTATCTGCTGACAACTGTTATTTCAGTAGTTGACATTGAGTACTTATTTTCAGGCTAAATTTTGGTAGTATATCTTTGCTTGAATCACTTATTAAGAGATTTTTTGAAAATAAATGCTAAATACTTAGTTTCCAAAATTTGAGATGTTAACTTTTTCAGGAAGCTCATAAGATGGTGAGAGAAGCAAATGTCAAGCAGGCAACAGCAGAAAAACAACTAAAAGAAGCACAAGGAAAAGTAAGTTTTTACTGCTTGGAGTAGAATAAAATGTAAAGAAATTAGTGATTACTATTTTTATTTTAACTACAGCACTGTTTTATTAGGGATTTCTTTAAAATTCAATCTCTGGGAATGAAAGGGTCAATTAGGCGGTACAAAGCCCATGAATTTCCCCAGATTTCATAGTAAACCACCTGCTGAGGATCCATGTGGGATCGCCACCTCATTCTCGGTACAGATTATTATAAGAATACTGCTTAGGCCCACTTGCTGGTAGGAGGGGTAAGTCTCTCCCACCCAAGACATGAATAGCATGAAGGCCATGAAGCTGAAGAGATGCTTACATATGAGATTCCAAGAAACAGGCCTAAGGGCCATGTCCACTTGGTTTGATCCACACATTTCAGTCCCAGTGAGTCTGCTCACCCCAGTTCAGTCTCAGGTCTGGGTGGTCCAGTCACACCATAGATCCCTCATGTGCTGTGAGTGGTCATGGGGCTTTGGGTAGACACCATATCCTATGCCATCATCCGGGTACTACTCATAGTCTTCCACCCGATTATTATATTTCTTGGCAGTAGCAGACTGTTCTTCTGGGGTCTTGGGATACAGCCCCAGGTCCGGTCCTGGGTAAAGAGGGAAGCTATCTGTGCACTCAGAAGCACCAGGTTCTGGTTACTCTTTGCAGCCTTTGGACTCTTAGGACCCTGCCCTGGCTGCCACCATTGGACCTTTTTCCTATTCCTAGTGATTACTGCCTTAAAGATGCTTTACCGGTTTCTGCGTTTTGTTCTGATTGTAAAGTAGTGCTCATTTTAGAGGATGTGAGAAATTATAGAAAACTGTAAAGGAGAAAATAGCTACTATGTAGATTAATAATGAACATTTGGTGCCCATTCATAGTAGAACCAAAAGATTCAAAGCCTTGTGAATCACAAGTATTATCAAAAGGATTATATGGTCACGTTTTAAAGTTAATATTTGTTTTCTTAATTCACTGAAATGTTATTAGAGTTTACTATTTCAGGGATATAAATGTTAGACATTTTGATAATCTTTAAAGATCACTTGATATTGTGAATCGCAGCTAAACACAAACCATGTGGAAACATAAGAACACTTAGCTTTCCTTTCCTTTTATTAATCCCCAGGAAATACAGGTGAAACTTATATTTCATCTTTGAAAAGAAAGTGTTTTAATAAAATTGCTAACCTTTAGCTGCCTTTGTCATTAACTGTATTTAGTTATGAAATTATGTTGATTTCTTTTCAAGATTGATGTACTTCAAGCTGAAGTAGCTGCATTGAAGACACTTGTATTGTCCAGTTCTCCAACATCACCAACACAGGAGCCTCTGCCAGGTGGAAAGACACCTTTTAAAAGGGGACATGCAAGAAATAAAAGTACAAGCAGTGCTATGAGTGGCAGCCATCAGGACCTCAATGTGATACAGCCATTTGTAAAAGACTGCAAAGAGGTAACTCGTCAAGGACTGTTCCCTCTGACTCTATTGATACTTACTTATTCTCATCACTGAGGTGTCAGTTATGATTTTTGCCAGAAAAATTTTCTAGCAGTATTAAGATGGGGGAGGCTTAATCTAGAGTTGGCTGCTTTCAGGGATTCTTCAATTCCATTCTCTACCTGGCTGACCTTGGAGTACCTCCTGAAAACTTGGTAAGTGTTTTAATCTCAATATTTCATTTAAGGAGCAAACTGTCATGTTTTGCATAAAGGAGAGTGGGTAGCTTTTGTGATCTGGCTAGCTAAAATTCAATGGTAGGGCACTTTAACAAAATAAGGAATGTAAGACGTGTGAAAATAAGGTGATTTCTTGAAGAACAGTATGTTGCTTTTAAATTCTGGGAGAAGTTAAAGTCCTATAGTTAATTTAGATAATTAAGCAACAAAAAATAGAACTAATAGAAACCTTATCATTAACAAACAAACAAACAAAAAAGTAAAGATAACTGAGATAATGTGGAATTATTTTTGAGCTGTTTTGAGTAAAAATTATATAATTGTAAAATATTTTTTACTTAATCCTTGCATGTGATGAGAATGCATTTCCAAAGGGGATTGATCAATAATTTATGGAGCAGCCCTTCCATTTCTTTTTTAAAGAAGATATTTCTCATTGTTGATAGTATTACAGATATCTCCCATTTCTCCCCATTTACCTCCCTCTTCCCAGCCCCCTCCACCCCAGATCTTCACTACTCCATTGCCTGTGTCTATGGGCTACACCTATCTATATATATATATATATATAAAAGCCTAAGCGATCTTTACGACCGCTTGATCAGTTGCTATGACGCGCACTGATCACCAGGGGCAGAAAGCTTAACACAGGAGCTGCCCCCTGGTGGCCAGTGTGCTCCCACAACCAACCTCCTACCGCTGATCAACCTCCTGTAGTCTCTCTCCCCGGCTGACTGGCCAACCTCTTGAGGTTCCTCCCCCTGGCTGGCCTGTCAGCCCCAGTTGGTCTTCTATTGGTCCCAATCACTGGCCAGGCCGAGGGACTCTACCTGTGCATGAATTTGTGCACTGGGGGTCTAGTAAGTATATAAGTTCTTTGGCTTACCTTTTCTTGTCCCCCCACCATTTTTTAAAAGCTGTACTTAACATTGGTGGATTCAAGTCCATTAATCTTTAAGAAGCTATGTGTGCTCATTCAGTTAAATGTTTACATGGAGGCCAGGACTTTATTAAACTGAATAACCGAAGTGGTTACATATTTTAATTAAATTACATTTTGTTTAGTTATCAAAAGATGCTATGAGAGAGTAGTTCAGTACTTGTCAAATCTGACTGTAACACAATATAAAATTCATGTTGGTTTCTGTTAAACCTTTAAGGAACTTATTAAAGTCATAATTTCAATTTCTTTTAATCTAAATAGTATTTTCAATTGCTTAGTACAACTTTTATTTTGGCTACAGTTTCTCAGTGTTTTTAATTTTAACCTTTTTCCTGACATTTACACTGACAAAATTGAAATTGAAATGTTTCATCATGGAATATTTTAAAGTTTTGTTTTTAGTTTATGAAATTCCTTAAAATATGAATAGGCAATATATAACTTCAAAATAATAATTTTTTGCTTTCTAGATGAATCTGAAATATAGTGGCAACCATACTTTGGTAAAAACTGCTGTTCGAATTTTAACCCTTCTAGTTTGGCTCTTGCACCTGATTAAACACGGGAAAAAGAAGCTATTTACCTTAGCTTTCAGGTGGAGACCTGAAGGCTAAGGCAATTTTCCCTTGCCTGGGACCAGGACCACAGGAGATTAATTCTAACTCAGTGTCCTTCAGAGATAGAAACTATAGATAACCTCTGAGCTCTGCTTCTGTGTTATCGGCTATCGCAAGATAGGGCCACATTCCAATGTCCAGCAGGATGTGACTATCAATGACCCCGCAGGCTGACCCCAGTCTTTAGAATGTAGTCTTTAGGATTTAGAATTTAGAACAAAGGAAAATTCCTGTGGTTTGAACTTTTAAAAGGAACTGCCTACCCCTGAACCGGTGTAGTCCTGTGAAGTCCACCCGCGTGTGGTGCTCTTGCGACTGTCCTGGCCAGTATTAATCAATCATCAGCCTCCGGTGGTCTTATTCTGAACCCAGGGTTCAACCCCACAATAGTATCCTGTATCCTAATGTTTTGTGAAAAACATATCAAAACATTAGAATACAAAAAATTTCATTAGACAAAGGAAACGTGTACATTTGACCTGTGTACATCTTAATAAAAGATATAGCAATCCAAAAGAAGTAAAACATATGTTTCTGTAGAAAATGTGGTGAGAGCGTTCAATCATGATAATCACATCATTTAAGTCATGGTGATTGAGGCGCACTCACGTGCACTATGCAAGGCTTTGGGGGCAGTCACTGAGATGTGAACTTGAACTTTTACTAGTGCTTTGCTGTGTAATCTTATGCAACTTACTTTATCGCTCTAAGCCCCAGTTTCCTTTTCTATATAACAGAGATCATAATATCTATCTCATGTAGCTGTGAGTATTAAATGTTTATGAGTGCTTACCATAGTTCCTGGCACTGAGTCCATTTTTAATAAATAGTTTAAGTTATTGCCTTTAAACTATAATCTCTCCTTAGAGCACCACTAATCTGCTGTGACATTTATGTCCCTTAAAGCAGCAGTCGCCAACCGGTGGTCTGTGGACCACTGGTGGTCTGTGGACCACTAGTGGTCCGTGAGGTCCGAAAGGTTGGCGACGGCTCCCTTAAAGGGTAAATTTGACAAGGAAAGTTAATTTGAAAATGTAAGTATTACTCATGTGCTAATATTTTTATTATTTTGCCTTTAGCTTTGATTCAAGGAATTTATGGAATGGGATGAAAAAATTTCACAGATTGCCATTATCCACTTTAAAGAAAGTCTGTAGGATAGGTTGGATATGCTCAGTCTTTTGTTACTTTCCTGTAGACAATAGCACCTCTGACTCAGCTATCCTAGAGGTCAGAAGTGTGTCAGTGCCTCACTTACAGTGTGCAGTGCTTCTGGTCAAGGGCACCTCAGAGCTGCAGGAGGCTGAGGGACACTACTTTGCTTGGGTGGCTGGTGGTAGGTACAGCTTTGTGTGTTCACAGGTGTTATTAAGCTAGACTAGGAAATCTGTAGTGAAAAAAATACTTGGAGAAAATTAGTTAAAAGGGAGGAGGGAAAGAGAGGGACATCGGGAAGAGTGAATAGGAAGGCTAGTGCCAATCTGGATTTGATGATTCAGTTAGTAGTTCCTGGATATTCATATACCAAAAAAGGAAATCTAAATACAGTAAATGTTATATTTTAAGCTAGTCAATTTAGGATGCTTATATGTTTACTTCTTTTAGTCTTGCTGCTTATACAGTAAACACTATGGAAATTCCTTTGGAAATGCTCTCAGGTATTATTAGAACAATTAGCATAATTTTTAACCCCAAACTTCTGGTTTTGCAATTTAGTCAGTCTTACTTTATTCAAACAATTTATTTAATTAACTAGAGTCCAAATTAATTTTTGATTCTGTTTAAAAAAGGCTTGTCATCATTTTTTATATTTAGAATAGTGTGCACATGTATCTTAAGAGGAGCTCCACATTAATATTTTGGAGGGATAATGATAGCATCACTAAATACCATAATGGGTACATTGAAAAGGGCCAATTAGTCATTTGGGAGTTTGGATTTTTTTAAAAAGAAAAATTGCTACCAAGTATTATAACTAATCAAGAATGGTTCAATTTATTATTTTAAATGAAGAGCATTTCTTTTTCAGTAATGTTTAAATAGGTTTTGGTTTATAAAGTAATTTTATATTCATACTTTTTAACAAGTTATTTTGTGTTTTTGTTTATTTTATTTGCTAGGCTGACTTGTCTCTGTATAATGAATTCAGATCTTGGAAGGATGAGCCCACAATGGACAGAAAGTGTCCTTTTTTAGACAAAATCTATCAGGAAGATATCTTTCCATGTTTAACATTCTCCAAAAGTGAGGTAATTAAAAAAAATTAATAGGAATGCATTAGAGTTGTTTCTGTACCTTTCATTAAACCACGTTATATATTTTAATAACTCTTATATACATAAGTTATAAAATGTCAAGTTTTACCATTTTTCCTGTTCCATATCAGGATCATAATTTCTTGGCATTTAAGTGCTTAACATCTTATTTGATGGAGGATCATTCACACTGCAGTGTGTATTGTATTGGAGTGAAGTATTAAATATGTGTTGGGGTAGGGCTTATTCTTGATTTTCAGTCCAGGCTTCAGTGTAAGGGAACCTCTATACTCTTGAGATATTCGTTGAATTTATTTGTACAAGATAAAAACTATATTTAGTTTCTTCATCTTTAAAGTGGGAAAAAATGCCTTCCTTGTCTACAGGATAGGGTTGTTTAGAGGATAAAATGAGTGAATGAGGTAGATAGACAAATACTTTTTAAAAATATAAGGCCCTGCCGAAACCGGTTTGGCTCAGTGTTAGAGCGTCGGTCTGCGGACTGAAAGGTTACGGGTTCGATTCCGGTCAAGGGCATGTACATTGGTTGCGGGCACACCCCCGGTGGGGGGTGTGCAGGAGGCAGCTGGTCGATGTTTCTCTCTCATTGACGTTTCTAGCTCTCTATCTCTCTCCCTTCCTCTCTGTAAAAAATCAATAAAATATATTTAAAAAAATAAAAATATAAGGCCCTATACACATATAAGATCACAATTTTAATTTATTTGGGGAAGGTGTATATGTAAATATCATGCCAATCAGTTTTTAAGATAGTTAATCCTAAGTCTTATTTATGTTAAGTCTTTAGAGGATTTAATGTTAACATACATGTAAGGAGATGTTTAGATGAGCAGTAAAACTCTTGATATGTAGACGCGTTGTTAATTGTGGCTTTGTGCCTGGTTTTAGGCAGGCCATTCAGTAATAATAGTTTTGCCACACAGGAGTTTCATTGCCTTTTTCTTCTGTTGTTTATTAGTTGCTAACATCTCCATCTGGGCATTTAATATTTGATAGTTCTGTTAATTCTTTTATAGACTCTTGTACACATAAATGCATGTTCAGAAAAGTACATAACTATAATTAGTGTATGTTGCTGTGTTATGAATGATCAATATTAAAAATTGCATATATTTAGCAAAATAAAGCATTACGATATTCATTTTGAAGTTGCATTAACAGTAGATGTTAATTGTGAGGAAGGTTGAACAGAGATTGGAATTAATTCCTTTAATCCTCTTCCAGATAATGAGATAACTTATTTAGCTATAACTGAATTGCCTTTCATAACAACGTTTGAATTGTATAAAAGAATTTAAACCAAAGTTACGTAGTTTTGTCTCCCCTTACCCCCCAATTGGCTAAGGCCAAGCTAGTGGAACTTGGAGAAATAATTTTAAAAATAAGTTGATTGTAGAATATAAATTTGATAATTTTCTGCCAGCATAATGTCTAATACTTTTTTTTTTTTTTTTAGTTGGCTTCAGCTGTTTTGGAGGCTGTGGAAAACAATACTCTAAGCATTGAACCGGTGGGATTACAACCTATTCGATTTGTGAAAGCTTCTGCAGTCGAATGTGGAGGACCAAAGTATGTTTTCAAACCCTTGTCTTGTGGAAAATACTGAGTTTTAAAATTTGTACTTGTTGAGTTATTTAGCTTTTCTAGTTTTAAATGTGGTTAAATATCTTGTCAGTTTTCTCAAGCACAAGACTCCAGTGTGGGATATAGCATTTCAAATTAGAATCATAGAGGAGCCCTTTTAATTACAAAAATGTACTAGAGGCCTAGTGCACAGATTCATGCACTGGTGGGGTCTCTTGGCCTGGACTGCGGGGATTGGGCTGAAATCAGCAGTCTGACATCCCCCAAGGGGTTCTGGAGTGCAAGAGGGCACGCTGCAAAGTTGCTGTCACTCCCCAGCTCCTATGTTGAGCATCTTCCCCCTGGTGGTCAGTGCACATCATAGCTACTGGCTGGTTGCTTAGGTTTATAGATAGATAGATAGATAGATAGATAGATAGATAGATAGATAGATAGATAGATGGTTGCTTAGGTTTATAGATAGATAGATAGGTAGATAGATAGATAGATAGATAGATAGATAGATAGATACATAGATACATAGATACATACATAGATAGGTAGGTAGATAGATTAGATAGATAGATGTTGCTGTGAAAAAGCTCCTAGATTTATTGAATTTTGAGTCCTGCCTGTGGTTGTCTTGACAGGGCCACACCAAATGTTTCCTGGGCTTTATATGGCCCATGGGTCGGACATTCCCCACCCCTGCTTTAGTGGGTTATAAGTAGAATTTTTGTTTGTTATACATACAGGGTGTCCCCAAAAAATGATACACACTTTGAATGATTATAAAGTCAGCGTTTATTTACATACAGTTCATTTTCAAAATTTAAAAGAATCTATAGAAGTGAATAATTTTTTTTAATCAATGCCTATTTTCAAACTGATGACCATTCTGGTTCAAGTACTACTAAAAATGTGAAGCAATGGAATCACAATCATAAAAATATCACAAACATTAAGAATCATTTTGTTTGGATTTGTGTACCCTCAAGTCATTGACTGTTGCCAGTTTTGTTTTATAAATTTTGTCTTTTATGTGTCCCCATAAAAAAAAGTCTAGTGGCAGTTAGGATAAATTTCTTTGTTCAAAGCTTCACCAATTATTTCAAATCAGTTAAACCTGAAAAGGAGTGAAAATTGAGTTATCAACTGTTTAAATGTGTATACATTTTTTAGGATACCCTAAATATGTATAGTTCTATGTCTTCGGTTTCTGTGTAAAATATTTATTCCCCGGAGTTACCATCAAAATTAGTTTGGAAAGACAGTGATTTAGACCAAGTCTTATCAAGCATGAAAACAGGATAGGACATATATTTAAAACATTTAGTTTCTATTTCTAGACCACTCTTAATTTTAGGCTGTTAAGCTTATACTAGAATATTAACCCCAAAAGGGGAGGGACTTAATTTCTCTCATCTTGATAGTCCAGCATCTAGAACAGTGCCTGGTCTGTAGTAGGTTCTCAAATATTTGTTGTCTTCAGCTTGTACAGAGACAGGGGCAAAACGCCTTTAATTAAAAAAAAAACTAAAATGTATCATTCTTTTATAGAAAATGTGCTCTCACTGGCCAGAGTAAATCTTGTAAACACAGAATTAAACTAGGAGATTCAAGCAACTATTATTATATTTCTCCTTTTTGTAGATACAGGGTAAGTAATGTAATAATGAATTTTAATAAAGCTCACTGATATGAGACATTTTATATTTATGACATTTTCTCCTTTTGGTCTAGATCACATCTGTGTGTAACTTTTTTACATACATTCGATATATTCAGCAGGGACTTGTGAAACAGCAGGATGGTAAGTTCTTTATTCATCTATAATAATCTATAATAATAAAAGCGTAATATGCTAATTAGTCTGGACAGCCGAATGACATTCTGGACATCCTTCTGGATAAAGCCATAATGGCAGTGCTGAGGCAGAGGCGGTTAGGGGAGATCAGGCAGGCAGATGAGCAGTTAGGGGAGATCAGGCAGGCAGATGAGCAGTTAGGGGTGATCAGGCAAGCAGAGTAGTTAAGGGTGATCAGGCAGGCAGGTGGTTAGGGACAATCAGGCAGGCAGGCGAACAGTTAAGGGAGTGTCAGGCAGGCAGGCAGAGTGATTGGGGCAATCAGGCAGCCAAGCAGAATGATTAGGGGTGATCAGGCAGGCAGGCAAGTGGTTAGGGGTGATCAGGCAGGCAGGCAGAGTGGTTAGGAGCCAGCAGTCCCAGTTTGCGAGAATGTGCAGCCTGAGCTGAGGGACAGTGCTTCCCTTCCCCCATGCACTGAGCCTCTAGTTATGAAATATTTATATAACAGTTCAGTAAAAAGTATAGGACACAGTAATAAAGCTCAAATAAACTTTATTATTGCTATATTTATATTGAGTCTTTTATAGTTCTAATAAAGTGTGTAGAGAATTTGGGAACAAATGTCTCTTTTAAAACACATTGTGTTTAATCCTTATATTTGTTTCATTTTACTCTAATTTTGAGCTTTAAAGCAGGCTCAGTTTTAACTTTTAAGACATATATAAGCCAGCTAGTAATTGTAAGAGGAATACAACATTGAATTTACTCCTTAAGAGAGAAAAATGAGGAAGCTCTAGACATGGTCAGATTCATTTTAATTGGTAAAAACTATGAGGAGCTAGCAATTTTGTCCTGTATTTTCACGTTAATAAAGCAGTCATGAGGATAATTCTGAATGGAATAAAGATTGCTATGTTCTAAATGAGCAGAAACAGGCAGATGATCTATCCAGGAGAGCCACCTTCATGCAAGTGTTTTCGGGTCTTTCATGGTTAATGATGGTTTTACAGCCCAATGTCTTACATACCAGCATAAAAACAAATGTGCCTGACAGCTTTAAAGCAGCACTTCATGGGTACACATGATTGTTTTAGACCAGGAGTCACACACATGGCGAGGACAAGGCCATGCCAGCTTTATATGAAGTTGTGGGAAAATGTCTTTTTATATAGTATATTTTTAGACATTGAAAATATTTTTACACTTGAAAAGAAGCCTTCTATTTTTATTAGGTAAACCAGTGAATATTAATTCTCTGGAAAAATTAGTCATGCCCATAATAAAGTAGTTTAGCATTTCTCAAGCTCTGGTATACTCAAACAGTCATATTTAGTTAGAATCCCATATAATTAGATTTTAATGCCTAAAAGAATAAAGGTGGAAACCTGTTAAATTTCAAAAGGCTGTGTAGCATAGTCTTTAAGCTGTGCAATACTTTTTATGACTTAAATAAAATTGAAGTCTTTTTGAATCCCTTTGGTAGATAATATGACTTAAGCTGGAGAACAGAGGATTTATGTTATGTTCAGGTGTCAAGCATATTTTTTCTCCTTGTTAAAATGAGAAATGTTTTTGTAGAGAAGGCTGAAAGATAATTTACTTTATGTAAATAGAATCATGAGTGATGGTGATAAAAGTAGTTTCTTCTCTGGTTCCCATCACTCTTCTACTTGACAGTATTGGATGCACATCATATACTGTGTGGGTTTGTAGTAAATAAATATTAATATGAAAATCTGTTTATTATCTGTGCCTGTGCCAGAAAGAATTTAGAGCAGTTAAAGCGAAAGCAGCGTTTCTCAGCCCTTGCACTGTTAACATTTTGAACTGGGTAAGTCCTTGTGGGAGATGATCTTGTACATTGTAGGATGTTTTCACAGTGTCCCTCGGCTTGGCTCACTAGACGTCATCAATGAAAAGTGTCTCCAGACATTGCCAAATGAACCCCTGGGGACTAAATCTCCCCTGGTTGAGAACCACTGCTCTAAATCAGTCTAATCTGATCATATGTCAGATTTTATAGTCTGAAATATAGAGCCATCTTTTTTTCTACTTACAGAAGGGCTCACACAAGTAGAGCTAATGGAAATTTATAGATCATCCTCTACATTTGTTTTTATTTCTAATTTGAGCCATATATAAAACTTTTCCCTATTAGTCACAAAGAATGTTACTGAATTCTCTGGACTGTCTCTTGTTTTCTTTTTCACTCTCTTAGTATTAATGAAAAGTGAAATGACCAAGATGTAGCAAACTAGAGTAAGAAGATCTAGAAGTTAGATAACTCTTGCATAACTGAGCACTGAGTGTAATTACTTATGAAGGCAACAGCATTGCCATTTATTCAGGACAGTGAAATGCATACCTTCTGTTGGGCTAAAGTGTCACAGTCACTGATATATTTAATAAAAAGTTTTAATAAACTGCTGAGTACTGCTTATTTATTAATAAAGTTGGGATGCTCACAAGTATGTGAAGAAGTTAGTGTGAAACAGTGATGGAATGTCTAGGCAATTAGGTATGTCATTAGGACATGCCAACTGGCATTTGAGTTAATCTTAAATTTTCATTGAAACAAATTAAAAATAATTAAGATGGTATTTTATAATTTATGTCTCTCTCTTTTGTTTGTATAGTTGACCACATGTTTTGGGAGGTTATGCAGTTGAGAAAAGAGATGTCGCTAGCAAAGCTGGGATATTTCAAAGAGGAGCTCTGATCCTCTGCCTGGGACCATGCACGAACCTCCCTGATTCCTGGAAAATGGCTGAGCATTTTCATGGTTACGTGATATTTATTTCCACGGTGTGGGCCCAGGACTTTTCCCCCTTTTCAAATTACACCAAGAAGTACTGTGATTTCTTTTAAACCGGCCTGTGCTATGTTTGCTCGTTCTTTAGTTGAACACACTACAATGAATTACAAGTGTCCTAGTGATTGTAATTTATAGTCACTAAAAAATGCTAAATAAATAAATACTAGATCAAATGTGTTTTTGCTTTCTCTTCTAGCTCTGACACAGCACGTGGGGCCAGTTGAGTGGATTGAATTATAATTTTCAAACTTCCAGCAATCTGTGGGAAGCAAAGAAGAGGGCTGAGTAGACAGGATTAGCTTCTGTCTCCACTAAGATGACTCTGTTTTTACATATTAGGATTCAAAAAAATATTTTATTTAAAGAGACTTCTGTTTGAAAGTCACTGTTTTATTCATTCTGTACTTTGTAATTTAAAGTATTCCTTTATTGTGGTAATTAACACGCTAAGTGCCCAGCCTGTTTTGTCTTCCAGACTGAAAGTATAGTATTAGTCACCAGTGATTAACATGGTGCTTAACGTATTAATCTTATATAATAAAAGCCTAGTATACTAAGTGTCTGGTCGGTCGTTCAACCAATCAAAGTGTAATATGCTAATGATATGTTAAGGCTGCTCTACTGCTCGCTGTGATGTGCACTGACCACCAGGGGACAGACAGTAGACTGGTCGACCAGTCCTATGATGCTCCAATTGGTAGGTTAGCTTGCTGCTGGGGTCCAGCTGATTGGGACTGAGTTAGATGGGCCGGAAACACCCTGGAGCCTTTCTGCAGAGTCTCCCCAGTTGGCCAACCTCCCGCATTCCTCCCCAGCCCCGATCATGCACCAGTGGGTGCAGATCGGCCTGACCTGCTCCCTCTTGCAATCCAGGACCCCTAGGGGGATAACAGAGAGACAACGGAACAACCGGTGGGTATGATGTGCACTGACAACCAGGGGGCAGATGCTGAATGCAGGAGCTGATCCCTGATAGTCAGTGCACTCCCACAGGGAAGCACTGCTCAGCCAGAAGTCAGGCTGATGGCTGGCGAGTACAGTGGTGGTGGTGAGAGTCGCTCCTGCCTCTGTGGCAGTGCTAAGGATGTCTGACTTCTGGCTTAGTTGGATATCTCCTAAGGTAGTGGTTCTCAACCTTTCTAATGTCTCTACCCTTTAATACAGTTCCTCATGCTGTGGTGACCTCCAACCATAAAATTATTTTCATTGCTACTTCATAACTGTAATTTTGCTACTGTTATGAATTGTAATGTATCAATAAATATATGTGTTTTCCGATGGTCTTAGGCTCTACAGCAGTGGTTCTCAACCTGTGGGTCTCTAAGTTCCAAACTAAAACTGACATCATATGGAGAAATTATTTATTAAAATTATTTATAAAAGGAAAGTCGCAACCCACAGGTTGAAAACCGCTAGCAAGGTCTCCTAAAATCATCAGAAAATACAGATACTTACATTATTATTCATAACAGTAGTAAAATTACAGTTATGGAGTAGCAACAAAAATAATTTTATGGTTGGGGGTCACCACAACATGAGGATCTGTATTAAAGGGTCGTGGCATTGAAAGGTTGAGAACCACTGCCTTAAGGGCTCCCGGACTGCGGGAGGGTACAGGCCAGTCTGAGGGACGCCTCCAATGAGTGCATGAATTTTGGGCACCGGACCTCTAGTTAAATATAATAGAGGACAGTCACATTTTTATCCCAGAAATGCATTCTTGAACATCTTGATGTAATATCAATATATTTCTACTTTGTGTATGTTGAGCACTGTAATACCGTGTTTCCCTGAAAATAAAACATCCTCCGAAAATAAGACCTACTTACAGGTTTCCTTCTGAGTGAAATATAAGGCATCCCCCTGAAAATAAGGCCCCATCAGGCTATGTCTCAGAATGAAAATTAATTTACTGTAAACTGGTCGCTAGGGCTGCACCGACCGGCGTCTAGCAACCAGTGATGTTACGCAGAGTCCTGACGTCACTGCTGTGTGGAGGTGGAGCAGAGGTCAGAGTGAGCCATGAGCGCAGGGTGGGAGAGAGGAGGAGACTTTCGCAGACGCGTGTAGGAGAACAGGAGGATTAGAGCAGACGGGATGCAACAAAGGTGGTGAGTGCTGATCTGTCTCTGGTGACACTACCTGATGCTTGAGGCCGCCCTCATGATGACTGAAGGTTCTCAGTCAGTGGCAGACCCTGCTCCAGTCTAGATCCAGGCCAAGCAAGCCCAGTGACAGTCCCCAGGGGATAAATGTCTGATAAAGGGGTAGGGGGGGTGTCTGGTGAAGGTGTTCAGTGGCACAGGGGTGGGGGGAGAGGGATCACTTAAAATGACACAGGAGGACCAGAGGGGGCAATCAAAATGACACAGGAGGATCAAAAGGGATTACTAAAATGGTAATCCCTACACTGATTCTCCTGTGCCATTTTGATTCCCCCCTTTGATCTCCCTGTGTCATTTTAAGTGACTCCCCTCCCCCCATCTTGATACCCCAATTCCTTTTTTTTACCCCTAGAAATGAGTGCAAAAAGAAAAAGCTACTCTGTGGAGTACAAGAAAGGAATCGTGGAAGACTCTTGGGGCCAAAATCTTACTGCTTTCTGCAAAGAGAAGATATTGAGTATCCGATTGGTCCGAAAATGGCAAGCAGAGTATGGTAACCTCGTTGAACAAGTGGACAAGGGAAATGCTAAAAAGCACAGTGTGGATCAGGTCAGCAACCATTATTTTCCGAGCTGGAAGACCTGATCTGTGAATGGATTGTTGACAGGAGAGCAAAGGCTTTGGTTGTGATTAGGGCTCAGATTCAAGAATTTGCCCTTGCAATGGCACCACAGTTTGACATAGCCCCCGAAGACTTCAGAGCATCACAACACTGGGTGGATAATTTCCTTTAGCGAAGTGAACTGTCTTTAAGAAGATCTACAATATTGTTTAGGTTGGAAGATACTCAAGTTATTAAGTGAGCACTTGCATTCAAGTCCTTTATTGATGATGCTGACTTCTCTAAATACAATCTTTCCAACATGATTGCTATGGATAAAACTGCAGTGTTTATGGGCCAATCATCTCAAACAACAATTGAAGAGCGGGGTGCCTCCTTAGTGTACATTCCCTCCACTGCTTACGAAAGTGCACATGTTTCCTGTTTTTTGGCAATTCGTCTGGATGGCACTAAAATCCCACCTTTAATCATTTCTAAGGGTAAGAAGGAAAAAATTGAATGTGCTTTGGGCATTTTTATTCTTGAAACTGAAAAAGCCTGGCCACACAAGCAGTTATAAGGAAGTGGGTCGATTTAATGCTGCCACTTGTTATGCAAGGTAGCCAAAGATGTCTGCTAGTCTGGGATGCGGCCAGCACTCACTGCGCTAAAGACATGAAGACATTTCTTCACGAAAGAAAAATAGATCAGATAATGATTCCCGTAGGAATGACGGCCTATCTCCAGACTCTTGATATTGCAATAAACAAGCCATTCAAAGACAATTTGCACATGGAAATTAATGACTACATTGAAAATAGAATGGAGAGAAATCAGTGTGGAAACTTTGTGAAACCTAAACTGCAAGAAGTTGTGAGTTGGTGAAGAATTAATGGGAGAATGCACTGTGAGCTGGCTACCTTGACAAGAAGTATCATTTAAAGACAGTGCTATTGCTAAACATGAGAGATTTGGTCCACTGATTCTGAAAGAAATGGAGTCACAAGAAATTCACCAGGAAATTCAGGAATTGGATTGTTATGATGATGTTCCAGAAGATGATGACATGATTGTCATTGAATAAATGAGTAAATTCTTGATACTGTAGGATTCACAGTTTGTCTGGTTTGTGTTGACAGCTACCATACTGCTGTACCATATACAGGTAATAAATTTCCTGTATTTTATTTAACAATAAATGTGTACCGTATTCTTCTTCATGGAAAAATAAGACATCCCCTGAAAATAAGACCTAGCGCATCTTTGGGAGCAAAAATTGATATAAGACACTGTCTTATTTTTGGGGAAACAGGGTAGTTGAAAAGATAGAAAGATAAATAAGGAGTTTGATGTGTGCAGCACCAGGGGCTTTGAAGGGGAGTATGGGTTATAGAGTATATACTGTATCTATGCAGAGTATACATTAGTCATAGAATCACTTGATCTCTAAGTTTCAAACTGTAAAACTGACATCATATGGAGAAATTATTTATTAAAATTATTTATAAAAGGAAAGTGTTTCAGGGTAGACATATAGTAAGTATAGAAAAGCAAAAAGAAAAAATGACAAATCAATCTCATCTAGAGAAAGATTCTGCTAATATTTTTTTAAATATATATTTTATTGATTTTGTACAGAGAGGAAGGGAGAGAGAGAGAGAGTTAGAAACATCTATGAGAGAGAGTCATCGATCAGCTGCCTCCTGCACACCCCTTACCGGGGATATGCCTGCAACCAAGGTACATGCCCTTGACCGGACTCGAACCCGGGACCCTTCAGTCTCAAAGCCGACGTTCTATCCATTGAGCCAAACCGGTCTCGGCTACTAATATTTTTGAAGAATAATTTCAACTTTCAAATATTTCTTACCTATATATACATAGTTCTGAAACTAGTAGTAGACTTTCTTACTTTAAAAATGTAAGTATTTTTCTACACATCTAACCATGCTAAGGTTTTGATTATAGGATGTTAATATCATTTAATTGTGTTTGTAGATTAGATTATTTAATTTTTTTATATCAAAGTGCTATGATGAGTATGTTGTTGGGTTAATTTCCTTCTTGTAGTTGCCTAGAAGTAAAAGTGTTGGGTCTAGCAAGGTATATGAATATTTTAAAATATTTTATCTGTATTGCCCAATTTCCCTCTAGAAAACTTGAACCAACTTATATTCACAGCAGCACTGTATGAGAGCTGGTATTCAGTCCTGTCTCAAAGTTTTAGTCAACTTTACCCTGTAGAAGTCTTGGTCACCAGGATGGACTGGAGTCCACAGACAAAAGGACATTTGAGAATGATATAGAGGAAGCAATAGTTACTATGCCAGCTCAAGACTCTGAAAGTGAACATGAAAAGAACTTTGAATCTAGAATTTTATGTCCTGATAAATAGGTATTCTAATGTAAGGGCATAATAAAAATGTTCTCAGAGTTTCAAAGCTTTAGAAGATTTCCACACAAAGATGGAAATTAAAAAACACCTTTGGAGAAATCACTTAAATATAAAGAGAAATCAATCCAGGAGATGCTACGAGAGATCTAGGAAGAAAAGTGATCAGATATTTAGAGAAAGTTCGTTGATAACTTTAAAAAGCATAAATAAAAAGTAGAACTACCCTGCTGGGTGGCTTGATTAGTTGGAGTGTCAACCTGCACAGTGTACACTAAAAGGTGGTGGGTTTGCTTCCTGGTCAGGGCGCATACCTAGGTTTTAGGTTCAATGCCCAGTTGAGGTGTATGCAGGAGGCAACCAATAGATATAATGTTTCCCTCCCTCCCTCCCTCCCTCCCTCCCTCCCTCCCTCCCTCCCTCCCTCCCTCCCTTCCTCCCTCCTTCCCTTCCTTTCTCTCC